TTCTATCGCGTTTTAACGACATACTATGGCAGTTTTTAACAAAACCACCGTGTTATTGAACTTTGGGAAAATATATAAACTTTTTCGTCACCTGACCTAAAGTTTTATGTTCTTTCTCACCGATAAACTATGTCAGAAGGAAACTTTCTTTGCACACCAAAGGTTTTTTCTCACTCCTTTTTTTTCAATATCATTTGAAGTGTTTTTTTTTTTAAAGAATGAGTCTGGAAACAAGACTCCGTTCAAAATGACAAAATCTTTCGCTAGTTTGAATAAATTCACTAGTCCCTCACTCTCACGACATGTGAGGACAACGATTTTGTCTTGTTTACGACATTTGAATTGACACACCACGACAGTATTTAAATCCTTGCTATTGCAAAAAGCACGACGGTAGTTAATAACCATCGTGGTGTGACAGTTAATACGACATAAACTAGATAAAACCGTCGTCTTATGAGAGAGAGAACTGTGCGGTTTTTCTTGTATCACCTCTTAATCAGACGACGGTTTTTTGCTGTTGACGTCGTTTTATTTTGAATAAATTCACTTCTCACATCGTGTGAGGATGACGGTTTTGTCTTGTTTATTACGTTTTAATTGACAAACCACGATGGTATTTAAATCCATACTATTGCAAAAAGCACGATGGTAGTTAATAACCGTCGTGGTGTGACAATTAATACGACATAAACAAGATAAAATCATCGTCTTATTGGGAGAGAACTGTGAGGTTTTTCCTGTATCACCTCTTAATAAGACGACGGTTCTTCCCTGTTGTCATCGTTTTATTTTGCTTACGATGATGGTGGTGGTTTGCAACCGTCGTTCTGAATTAAATAGCACGACGGTTTGTTTCTACCGATGTCTTATATGGATTATTACGTCGATCTTTTTAATGAACCGTCGTGCTTTCTCTTGCAGGTTTAATTTCTTTCTAAACATGGTTTCGAAATCTCGAAGTAAGGAGGCTCAAGTATCAAAATGTCAAAGCAAGGACCTTGCAGTTTCAAAGGCTCAAATGGATGAAGCCAAATCACTTCAAAGCAATATCCCGCAAAGAAGATGAGATTTTCTTCAACCTCTGAGAAAAACCCTAGCTCAGCGACATTGTTGTGGTCTGCCACTGGCCATTAATGTGCTTGGAGGTGTTTTGGCAACAAAACATTTCATTGATGAATGGGAGACAGTACATAAAACTATCAAATCACACCTGAAAACAATCAACGGCGACCACAGAAGTGCTGAATTTGGAATTATGGAGGCGTTAGCACTAAGTTACGATGATTTGCCATATCAGTTGAAACAATGCTTCCTTCATTTAGGCCAATTCCCAGAGGATTTTGAGATGCCTACACGGAGACTAATCAATCTGTGGGTTGCAGAAGCCTTGATACCAACTGAATCATCAAATGAAGGAGAGAACGAGGAAACATTAGAGGATGTTGCATATCGTTACTTGACAATGTTAGCAGAAAGGTATTTGGTTCAAGTGGAGAGAAGAAGTTCAACCGGAAGGATTAAAAGTTGCCGCATGCATGATGTTATATGAGAACTATGTTTGAGAAAGGCCAAGGAGAATGATTTCTTCCAAATCATAGAACTTCGTGACAGTAATGATTTCTTCCAAATCATAGAACTTCGTGACAGTAACAGGAAAATGGAGTTGTTCTCTTCCCTAATGGTTAACAGACCAGTTTCAATAGGTAGGATGCGGAGAGTTTCCGTTTATTTAAAAGATTTTAGTGGGTTTATCTCTTTGGGAACTGAAGAATGTCCACCGGTTAGGTCAGTATTGGGATGCAGACACTACATATATAGTGTACTAGGACAGGAAATTGGTAGTACAAATACCTGATCACAGCAAGCTCGATGAGTTCATGGCAATCTTCCAACCACCATTCACATTTAACTATCTAAGATCGTTGTCAGTAGATACTCTGATGAATGCTAGAACAAATATAGATGTTGCAAAAATCAGATCATGCTGTCCTCGCCTCGAGAAGCTGAAACAAAATAGAAGGAAAACCTTCCTGAAGTACCAGAATACTGTCCAATAGACTACATCTTAGCGTGAAGCTTCCAGAAGTTTACTAGATTTTATTTTGAACATCACCTTTTCGATGCTTTTGTACCTGAAAATTGAGGAAGACTGATCATGCCCACTCCAGGGAAGCTGCCTGCCTTAGCTTGACAATCGTCTACTCATGTCCATTTGTCGATCAGTAAAATTTGCTCGAGCTACTTTTATTTGTTCTCCATATATAAGTGGTTATGAGGTCTAGGATTTGTCTGTGGTACCTGCTGTGGTTTTTTTGTTCATTTTTATGTTATTTTTCTCTGTTGGTTTGTTTAATGTTGGATGGTCATCCTTATTTGTCTGTCAATGTTTCATGTTCTGTTTTTTATGTATCAATGTTTCATGTTCTTTTTTTTTATGTGTCAATTTTTCATGTTGGTTTTTTTATGATTGAAACACCAGATAAAGTCATATAGGGTGAAAATAATGAGTGTATGGCCATTCTTAACTTTGGTAGACTATAATGCTAAAATGTGGTCTACTTCAAGATTCCATTTCTATGAGCCAAAGTAAGCTATTATACTTCAATTATCTTATGAAAATCTCCAGTGCATATTAGATAATAAGACAATAAAGTGGATGAGGAATTAAAGTATATCATAATTTCCCATATGCTCCGGAAGAGCAATAAAGTGGATATAAACACAAAATTTGATTGTCTTTTGAGATCAAAGTTGGAGTCATGATTTCGAGGCCAATGAATTTAGAGAATCGATGATAATGGCTTCACCAAGTGTCATAACTTTGAGCTCCACTTAGAAGCAGCTTGATGATTACCTAAGGCTTCCCAGATTAAGAAGCAACACAAGATGTGAGTGTGATCAATCATAGCATGTTATTCATCCCGACTAGTGAGTTTGATCGAAATGACGAATCCTTCATATGCGGAAGGCTTCCCTGAGTAACTTCATTAGCATTTCACTCGCACACGTAAACGTGAAGTGAGATCAAGGAAGGAGTGCACTGCAGGGGATAGTTATTTCACCCATGGGATGATGATATCAAATATGATATCAGAATCACAGATCGCTTCTTCTGGCTTCCCCAACATACACCGCAAAATAGCTTTTTGGGATATCTAAGGTCTTTGAGGCAGGTACTTGGTTTAGACTTCTCTTTGTGTTAACAATTCCTGGCAACCGGAACCCCATGGTTAGATTTTTAACCGGAACTAGAACAAGAAAACGAATTCAATGGAGTTGGGAAACAAAGAAGGCTTGGAGGTTTTGCAAGGAGAGACTTGAGTTGATCATGATAAAGATGATCTCTCATGTATATATATGAAAGGGTGTGTGCCGAAATTAAATCATCTGCTACATGAAATGAGTGGTGAAGAGGCACAAGTGAAGGACACTAGGTTGTGAGCAACCAAGAAATCACATGGTTTTGTCTTCCTACTCCCCTAAGTCATCATTATGTAGAAACATAATTCCCTAGAGACAAGAAGGGACTACCAGAAGATAAACATATTCAATCTGGTAAGTAGTCATCAAAGATTATCATTAGATAAGAAGCATACTTGAGACAAGCACACTTCTCTTTGTGCTCACAAACTCGATTGAACGAATTGGAAGACTGATTAATAATTTGTGGATAAGGTAACCAATTCATGGCTGCTTCTATGTTATTCAATTCAACCTCAATCAAGAGAAAGACCAGCACTGTACTGCGTCTGTTGTGGTCCCATTCAGAACTAATACAAAAAAGCTTGACCAAATAAACAAAATGAGATAGTTTCTTAGCTATTGACTATGGAAATAAGGGATGAAAAACTCCAAGGCCACAAATTCTATGGTTATTCATGGTTCTCTCAAGCTATGCAGTATACCTTCGTACCAGGCCAAATGCAAAAGTTTCATAACACCACCAGTTCTTGTTTGTAAAGCAGCATTAATTGAGACACCAACATATGCGGTAGAGTTAGTCCAAAACAAATAGTAACCATGAAATTCAAGCATAGCATATCTCCGAGAAAATATTAAGAAGTCCAATTTGGTAATTTGTGTTAGCTAGTGAGCGCCAAGAGAAGTAAATGTCTCAGGCCTGCCCCTACTGGAAAAGAGGTAGGGAATACTGTTTCAACATATGAATACGTTTCGTCATTTGCATGTGCAATGTCCTATGTGAGTAGGAAGACAAAGCCATGTGATCCCTTGATTTCTCACAAGCCATTGTTCCTCATTGTTGCCCACCTCATGCCTCTGCGCCACTCATTTCATGTAACAGATGAATTTTCTCATCCCATTTCATCTATATATACACAAATGACCAAGTTCACAAGCATCAAGTATCTCCTTGCCAAGCATCGAGTATCTTCTAGCATGATGATTACTCTAGTTTGTATCCATTAATTTGCCATGCCAGTCTCCCAAATTAATGATGTCTTCAAATAGAGCACATTTTGACATGCTAGTCTCCCATATTAATGATTCCTGCAGGTAGTTGTCATTAGTCATCATAACTTACACCTCTCTCAACCAGATGTAACATTACTTCAGATTTACCAAACCTATAACAAAGAAACGATTTGATTTTTATAAACTTTGGGAGACTGTAATGTTAACATGAGGCAAGAAAGTATGCCATTATACTTTATTGTTGTGAAAATCTTCACTGCCATTTGATGATTATAAAACTGAGCTACAATTAGATAATTAGACAAGAAAGTGGATGAGGAATTAAACTATATTCATATCTTCCCATATGTTCCAGAAGAGCAAAAAATTAAGAACTGTACATGGGTTATAAACACAAAACAATGTCCTCTTTGAGATCAAAATTGGAGTCAAGATACATAATTCGACTGTATTACAAGGTTTCTTAACTTTGGATCCCGGCTCACAAGTCACATGTGAGTGTGATCATGCATGTTCTTCTTCATCTCGACTTAGTGAGTTGTGGTCGAAATGAGGGATACTTCGGATACAGAAGGCTTCCCAGATTAACTTCACTAGTGTTTATTCATACACGTAAACGGGAAGTGAGATCAAGGAAGGAGTCTTCACTGCAGGGGATGGTGATTCCACCCATTGGATGATCATATCCAAATTCTTCCTCTGCTTGATTCAGCAAATCCAGGAATAAAGGTTCATTCAAGTATGATATTGGAATCACAAAGAGCTTCTTCTGGCTCTCTCCAACATACACTGCAAAACAGCCTTTGGGGATATCTAAGGTTTTTGAGGCAGCTATGTGACTTAGACTTCTCTTGGCGTTAACAATTCCTGGCAACCGGAACCCCATGGTGTTTAAACTCTCAAGGTGTTTAAACTCTCAAGAGGAATCAAAGCAAGAAAAAGAATTCAATGGAGTTGGGAAACATATAGAGAAGGCTTTGATGCTTTGCAAGGAGAGACTTGATACTACTACAAAAAACAAAATAGACGACGGGAATCCACCGTCGTGTATAATGTTTTACAACCGACGTGAAATCGACCGCCGTCTTTTAACACATGAAATAA